CTCCGATCCTCTTTCCCCATACTTTCTCCTCCATCTCTTAGCTTTCCACGCCGCCTGTAATTACCTAAGTGTAGTTACAGGATGAGAGCTACGCTCGTGGTGTCCCGTCTTCCCAGCACTCTTTGTCATGTAACGCTTTGAAACTACTGACGGTCTTGGCCTCCACCACCTTCTCACCTAACTGTCTGTGTGGGCTGATGTCCATCACTCTCCCAGCGATCATCGTGCTGTTCGCTCTTGTTCTTCTTCTCCCGTTGAGACACTCGAGTCTGTTGCCCAGTACGTTGTTGCTGGAACACCTGTCTCTTTGAGTCAGAAGCGAAAGCCTGGCTCATCTCCTTCCTTCCGCCCAGCGGGTAAGAAAGTTTTGCTTTCTTCCTCGCCTCCCACCTCTGAATATCGCTCCATCCCCTCCCGCTTCGGTGGTCGAACCCCCTGTTCCTGCTATGGAAGTTTCTTTGGCCCCCGCTTCTCTTTCGGTTGCTGCTCTTGCTGAGGTGTGCTTCCCGATTTCTGCCCCCCCCCCCTCCTCCTGCTGTCCTTGACCCTCAGTTGTCTCCTCCTCCTGCTGTCCTTAATCCTCAGTTTTCTCCTCCTCCTCCTCCAGATCCTGCTCGTCTGGCTCTGATCTGTCTTCCCGCTCCCTTCCTTCCATCCTTACTCAGTTTACCCATGCCCCCTAATCCTGACTTCGCTGACCCTGATCTCGTCCTGAGCTTCTTTATCATGCTGTGTTCCTTTTAATCTTTGTTTCTTCATTGTTTTATGTTGCTGTCCTTTCTCTTTTTGTTGATGTCTATTCTTCAATGGAATATTCGTGGATATTACGCCAATTTCCATGAACTCCAACTTCTGATTTCACAGTTTCCCCCCTTTGTATCTGTCTCCAGGAGCTGATGTTTGGTGCTCATCCTGATCACTTCCGTAGCTGTTACTCCCCCCCCCCTGCTTTTGCTGGAGCCCGTAACTCTACTGCTTTCTTGTTTCGTTCTGATATTCCCTTTGTTCCCCCTACTTTTTCCATTGCCTCTCCAATGTTCTGCTGCCCGGGTCTTTGTGAGTAAATGGTATATGGTTTGTTCCATTTATCTCTCCCACATGTCCCGCTTTCTCTTCCTGATCTTAAACACCTACTGGACTCCTTGCCGGAGCCTGTGCTCCTGCTGGGTGATTTTAATTGTCGACATACCCTCTGGGATGATGTTCTGACAAACACTCGGGGTCGCTTTCTTGAACCGTTCGTCCTCTCTTCTTTCCTGTCTCTTCTGAATTCTGGTGAACCCACTCATTAGGACTCTCAAACTCGCACCCTTTCCTGTCTTGATCTTTCTCTCTGCTCGTCGTCTCTTTACTTCTATTTCACGTGGCGGGTTCTTGATGACCTCCATGGCAGTGACCATTTCCCCATCCTTGTTACCTTTTTCTCTTTTCACCCTCCCCTCTCCTTCCCTCAGTAGCAGTTTGCAGACTGGAACCTCTTTACCCTCTCTCTGATCTCTCCGTTCTGCCTCTCCCTCGCGCCCTCCTTCTTTTTCATGACATCATCTTCGATGCTACCCTCCACTATATTCCTCACTCTACCTCTCAGGACATGTGGAAGTGCGTTCCCTGTTGGAATGTGGACTGTCGGGCTGTCCGCTGTAAGTGTGCAGCCTGGAAGAGACACTGCCGACGGCAGACGGCTAATTATTTTCTTTTGTTTCGGAAGGTGAGTGCGGTTGCCCGTAGGACCTCCGTACTGCTAAACGTGAGTGTTGGAAGTCTTATGTTTCCACTATTACGTTCGAAACTCCTCTGCCGCAGATCTGGAAGTGTATCCGCAAGATAGCGGGTAAGTTCGTTCCCGATTTCTCGCTGGTCCTTCACCTCCATGGTACTCTTGTGGCGGACCTGGTGCAGGTTGCGGCCGAACTGAGTTCCCACTTTTAGTCTGTTAGCTCTGGTTCTCATCTTCCTCAATCTTTCTTTCTTCGTAAGCCTGTTCTAGAATATCATCCTTTAGATTTCCATACCCATCTCAGCCTTCCCTATAATGATCCCTTCTCTCTCTCTGAACTTCAGTCTACCCTGGCCCTCTGTGGTTCTATGGCAGCGGGCTCCGATGACATTCATTATGAGATGCTTCTCCATTTCCCTCCGTGCACATCTCAGTACAGTATTTGCCGAGTCTGTATAACTGGGTCTGGGAGTCGTCGTCAGTCCTTGAGGACTGGCTCGATGCTGTTGTTCTCCCTGTTCGGAAACCAGGGGGTCTCTCGGCACATCCCCTCAGTACTTCCGCCCTATTGCCCTCACGAGTTGTGTCTGCAAACTCTCTGAACGTATAGTTAACGTTCATTTGATGTGGTTCTTAGACCACTATCACCTCTCCCATTCTCAATTTGGTTTTCGCAAATGACGCAGTACAACAGATTTACTAGTGAACTTGGAGGTCCATATTCGTACTGCTTTTGCTGTGAAGACCTCCGTTGTTGCTGTCCTTTTTGACCTTGAAAAGGCTTACGACACTGCCTGGAGATATCATATTCTGTCCCAACTTCGTTCTCTTGGCCTTCGTGGTAATCTCCCTCTCTTCCTCCAAAGTTTCCTTTCTCGTCATTCCTTTTGAGTAAGGCTTGGTGCCACTCTCTCTGCCTCTTTTCAGCAATACGAGGGTGTACCCCAGGGTAGTGTTCTGAGCACTACTCTTTTTTTTCTGGTTGCCCTCAATGGTCTTCTTTCCTCTCTTCCTTCTGGAGTCTTCTTCGCTCTCTATGTCGATGATCTTATCCCTTGTTGTCGGGCTGATGATTCACCTCTCCTTCAACGGCGGATTCAACTTGCGATTGATGCCGTTTCGTCTTGGGCCACCGATCATAGCTTCAAGTTCTCTACGACTAAAACTTGTGCTGTGTCTTTTACTTGAAAGCATGTCATTCTTCGTCCCTCTTTGTCGCTTTATGATCATCCCATCATGTACAGGGATTCCACTAAGCTCTTGGGGTTAATCTTTGGCACTCGTTTGTCTTGGTCCGTCCATATCTCTTACTTCCAAGTTGAATGCTCTAAGGCCCTTAACTTCCCATACTTCTTGGGGTAGCAGATAGGCGCACGTTCCTCTCTCTACATTCCTCTTTCGTACTGTCAAAACTCGATTATGGTTGCCCTGCCTACTCGTCTGCATCTCCTCCTACTCTTTGCCGTCTTGATGCTTTGCACCATACTGGGTTGCACCTCAGCTCTGGTGCCTTTCGTTCGACACCCGCCCTCAGCTTGTATGTTGACACTAGCTTCCTATCTCGTCAGGACCGCCGTGATCGCTTCTGTCTTCTCTATCTTGCGCGGATCATACAACATCCTTATTCTCGCCTCTGTCGTGCTTTGACATTTATCCCTCCTGTTATTCCTGTTCCTCTTCACCACCTCCCTCTTTCTGTCCTGTTATCTCGCTTACAGGATTCTCTTTCGATTCGTATTACCGATGTTTCTCCTCGTATTGTTCCATCCTTTCCCCCGTGGAGGGTCCCGCTTCCTAAATTTTGTACATCCCTGACCCGTATCACTAAAGCTTTTACCCCTCCTACGGTTCTAAAATACCTTTTTCTTGAACACTTTTCTTCACACTCCCACTCCATTTCCATCTTCACCGATGGGTCTAAGTCTGCAGGCAGTGTTGGCTACTCTTGTTTTTCCTAACCACATTTATGTGTGTCGCCTACCTCCGGAGACTAGCGTCTTCACAGCGGAACTTTATGCTGTTCTCTATGTTCTTCATCTCCTGCTTTCTCATTGTCAATCTTCCTTTGTGGTTGTCGTTGATTCTGGTAGTGGCCTCATGGCTCTCGGGTCCTTTAATCTGGTCCATTCAGTGGTCATCGAGATTCTACATTGGCTGTTTCTTTTTTCCAGTAAATTTAAGTCAGTTGAGTTTTGCTGGGTTCCCAGCCATATTGGTGTCTCTTTAAATGAGCGTGCAAACGCTGCTGCTAGAGAATCTGTCCTCTCTTGTCCCATCTCCCGTAAAGGTATTCCTTATTCTGACTTACCTAGTTAATCATTCCTTCACCCTTACCCATTGGCAGGATTGTTGGTCTTCTGTTACTGGTAACAAACCAACCCGTTTTCGCAAATTTAATAAGTCAATATTGACTTATTAAATATGTGCATAGGTGACATACTTAACATAATAGATACCCTTAAAAAGATTCATAGAAAACACCGACCTTACCTAACCTTGTTAGTATCTTAAGATAAGCATCTTATTGCTTCGTAATTACAATTATTACCTAACCTATAATAGGTATAGGTATATAATAGGTATAGGTTAAGTAATAATTGTAATTACGAAGCAATAAGATGCTTATCTTAAGATACTAACAAGGTTAGGTAAGGTCGGTGTTTTCTATGAATCTTTTTAAGGGTATCTATTATGTTTAGTATATCACCTATGCACGTAGTTAATAAGTCAATATTGACTTTACGAATTTGCGAGAACGGGTTGTAACAAACTGTGTACCCTGTACTCTTAAGAGTAGTGTGTCCCCATGGCCTACTATCGTAACCTGGAAATGGTTCTGGCGAGGTTGCGTATTAGCCATACACGCTTAACTCAGTCACTTAATGGAGCGCCGCCCTGCTCCTTATTGTCCAAATTGCATTGTCCCTCTTACGGTCGTGCATATCCTTGCTGAATGTCCTTACTTCCATGACGAGTGTGGGTCTTGCTTTCCGACCGTCCCTCTTGTACACTTATCCCTCGATAGAATTCTTGGTGAATCTAATACTTTTGATATCGTTCGCCTTATGCGTTTCTGTTCTCGTATAGGCATCCTTGGTGATATTTAGCGTCCTCTGAATATTCCGCACATTTGATGGTGCTACATAGCCATCCTGGTTTGGTGCCTTCTTTTGATAATTACTTACTTGCCTACATGAATTGCATATAATATAGTATAATCTTTGAACAGTTTTACTAGCAATCGTAATAATACTTTCATGTACACTTATTTGTCTATTTCCAGATAGCAGAATGAAGTTGTAATGTAATTTTGGCAATTAGAGTGAGGATGGACCAGTTGCTACTCAGTGATGCATTGGAGTGTTCAGTGTGCTTGGAGCAGCTCGGTTCCACCTCCCGTGTTCTTCCATGTCAACACACATTCTGCCGCCGTTGTCTTAATGATATTGTTCACACTCATAAGGTAATACAGTAAATCAATTTTATTTATTTATGTGATCAAGAAATTATGGAAAAGATTGGTTTAAACTTCGAATAATTAATAAGATTGCTTAACCCTTAAATGGCGCATGGCTGTATTCTGATTGACACCCACAGGTGCAAAAAAAAAAAAAAAAAAAATATTTTTTCTTCCTAACCTGTTAAGTTGTGTTCCCTGATCACGGGGGAAAAAAAACAATTGTACTTACCGGCGATGTAATTGAGCGGAGAAGATGGATGATGACGTCACAGTTTGCATGTTCGCCCATGCACTGTGCGTCCCGGAGGCGTCGCACGCACTCTTCAAGCAGCCACAGTTGCCACGAATTTATTTTCGCGTCATTATTTACAGTGTCTAGGCGTGTATTCTTTGCAATATTAGTTACTAATTATGTTGCACATAATGTCACTTGACAGTTATTGTCAATATATGTTGCACACATCGAGTATACACATGCGCACACAAACGTTTTCCATTACGGCATTATATTATGTACAGTAATCACCATGTTCATTATTTTACGTGTACACACTAGCATGCACTATGTACAGGTTTTTGCACTATTATTGCACATTTAGAAATCTTGGAGTGAATGGTAGTCGTTGAAGCAGTCGACAGCACACAATGCAACTCCACACCCTTCACACCATGTTTGCACCATTTTATGTTTTTGCTCTCTTTGTTTTGTTGTTTTACATACTACGCATGCACGTTGGCCTATTGCACGCTTTCCACCTGCTGGCAAATTCTTTAGTCTGTGTTGCTGAAAGGCATCTATGTGAGCGAGCCTGGGTGTTGCAGCATGCTGCAACACTGGGTTCATGATTGATCTTCGTATGCCAGGGACTTCTTGACCAAACTTTGCTAATAACTGTGTTGCAAGTGTAAAAGCAAATGAACGGAAAACAGGTTTACGTCCAGTTTTCACCAGGTACAAATTATAGCAGTTCAACATGCTCATGTCAACAAGATGGAAAAACACTTTTTTCGTCCACCTCAATATTTTCCGCACACACTCGATAGTGCCAATCATCATGTCAGCCTTATCAATCAAATGCATATTGATATTGTAGTCAAGAACACAATCTGGCTTATATACTGGTTCTCTCATTACACGGTGCACCTTGCCACTGTTCAACATTGTACCCTCATGAACGGTTGTCAGCAGGTTCACTTCTCTCTTGTCTTTCCACCGTTCTGAGAGTATTTCATCACATTTCCGTACCTGGCACTCACCAACTGCAAGTCCACCGACAAACACTGGCATTTCCCTTCTTCGTGGCTTTACTGTGCCAACCAACCCGGTTCTATTTTCAATCAAGAACTTAGCTAGCAATGGACTTGTATAGTAATTATCTGTGTATAGGATGTGGCCCTTGTTCATCCATGGTGCCATCAGTGACTTCACCACACTACCAGAGAAACCATGTTCGTCGTTACCGGGAATGTCTACATCGCTAGCTGAATACAGAATCATGTGTAACACGTATCCTGTTTCACAGTCACACAGTACAAAGAATTTCAAGCCAAATCTGTTTCGTTTTGAGGGAATATACTGTTTGAATGAAACACGTCCTTTGAATAGTATAAGGGTCAATCACTGTCAATCACCAGCTTCTCTGCTGGTACGTAAAAATCTCTGAATTTTCCAATCACCTCATTCATATAGTGCCTCACTCGCCAAAGTCTATCCTCCTCAGTCCGGTCCTCATTAGTTGCAAAATGCACACACCTGAGGAGTATCTGAAATCTATCTCTGGACATATATTTCCCGAAGAAAGGTGTTGGAATAGTCAGATCTTTGATCCAGTAATCTGTGAGAGCGTGTTTGACATAGTGTTTCATCAACATACATATTGCAAGAAACACGTACATTTCACCTATATTGGTGTTTTTCCAACGTTACAAGCGTGAAAATTCTGTTCTCTTTTCTAATGAGATGAGCCGCATGAAGGTTCGTTTGGTGTACAATATATTCCATGAGCGGCTCATCATAGAATGCGGTAAAATAATCACATTCACTCATATCATTACCATTATCAGGGAAAAGATCTGTAATCCCATCTTTATTGTCAAAGGCAGGAATTCGGGGAATAAAACCAGCACCATCACTCCACACTAGTACACCTGGTGTCCTGCGAGACGCAGGGGACGCAACAGGGGGACGCAGCAGGGGCACTACAGCGAGGAAGCGATGCACCCCGTGGACCAGGAGCTGAAGCCCATCTATGCACAGTACGGCCGCTACGTGCACGTGAGGTAGAGGCATGTGAACATGAGGCTCTTGGTGCCACATGTTGTTCCATGCGGTGGCGCTTGGCTGGGCGAGACGCTGCTGATGCGACAAAATCTCGCCCAGTTACACCACTGGTACTGGCACCAGGCTCGGTAACACTATGTTCTGATTCCACTTCACTAAAACCAGAAAAAGAGTCGCCATCCTCTGACTCGTCAGCGAAAATATCCTCAGACTCTAAATAATCACAGGAACTGTATGGCCGAGGGAGAATTGGGGTAGACACTAGGCGAGGTGGCATGGGTGAGCATATAGGCCTCACCATGGGAGGCGGCTGTATCTCATATTCACTGTCCGTGCTATCAACATCGGTCAATTGTGTGTAGTCTTTATCAATATCAGTCATCAAAGTCACTTTCCTCACCATCGAAAAATAATTCACTGGTTATTTGCTCCTGGGTGAGTGATTGCGTGGGGCGTGCCCGGGAAGCGTTTGGCCGTGCGCTCGACATGGTGGCTGCTGGGTAACTGAGGCCTCCCAAGCGATGGTAGCGTGAGCTGGATTTTTTTTCAAAATGGCGGCTGTTTACTATAGCCCCTGGGTAGCGTATGGGGACCCCCTCTACCCTTCGGGCCTTTCAAATCGTGCATGGTATGCCCGCACATCATATGATGCGATGCGCAATTTACTGCAAGTTGGGCAAAGCATCATATGATGCGATGTGCAATTGAAGGGTTAATATACAATAAAGACCAAAATTAACCATTGTAATCTACCAATAACCAAACAAAACAAACAACCTAATGTAGGTTATCTAGAAACTAATAAAAAGACTACTTTGAGGGAGCGAGTCAAATGATTTCCATACAGAGTACCAAATGTTATAAGAATGTCACTGAATCTACTTTTATCATTTATCTGTTGATTTATATTTGTGCATCAGTGCACATCCCACTGTATAGAATTAATTCTTTAGAATACAGTACAGTACTACATGTTCTGATTCTTCACTTCACCGAGAGTACATTATTCACTAGCTCCACAAAGATTATCATTCCAAGTTGAATTGATAGTATTCCCTATAAACACCCTATTGTCTCAAAAAGGACCAATTGTGTATTCCAGCCACATTCTTGAGGTTATCTTGAGATGATTTCGGGGCTTATCGTCCCTGCGGCCTGATCCTCGACCAGGCCTCCTTTTTGTTACACACACAGGAAAAAGTGAGCATCATCACACTGAAGAGTCACACTGCTGCACGCTCCAGGTTAATTCAAGTTATCTAAGTGTGGGGAGTAGGATGAGAGTTGCAAGTGGTGTCCCAGAATACATGAAGGTGTAGGCAATTTGAGAATAAACCTAGAGATAAGAAATAAGTGTTAGTGAATGAAAAATCTTGGGTAGAAAAGTTGATCTTTCAAAACAGCAGAATAACAACAAAAATGGCCGCCACCACAGGGGGAGGACAGCACCCCATCAAGGGAATCTTTTGCAGGTTTCTCACAACAAGATGCAATGAAAGGTGGTTTTTCTTGGCAGGTTAGTGATTATTGAGGACATGCTAAAGAATTATGAAGAAAAGGTTATTAAATTAGAACAAGAAAATGAAGGTTTCAAGATTGAGCTTTGTAATTTAAAAGGAAGTATTTTCCAGCAAGGTAAAGAAATTTCCAGCTTGACTGATAAGGTAAGGATGCAGGAGGAACATATCAAGGAACTTGTAAAGGATAATGAGGCATGGAAAGTGAACAGTAGGGAATTTGAAGAGATTAACAAGAAAATACTCATATGGTGAACACCTCCAAGGGAGCCTGAGGGCTAACATGGAGTTAAGCAAGAAGATGCAACGAAAAACTTTATTGGCAACTCAAATAGAGGAGGCTAATAAAGAACTAGAAAAGTATAAAGAAGAAATAAAAGAGACATATGCACGAGTTGTAAAAGAGAGAGAGACATTCAAGGAAGTGTGTTCGGAAGTCAAAACCAGAAATGACCAACAAGAAGCAGAAACTAGGCAAGTAATTAGGAAAAAACTGGTTACCAACAGTAAACTGGTACAAAACACTGCAGATAGAACTAAGTCCATAATAATTTTTGGATGTTTAGAGAACAAAATTTCATCTAGGGTGGACCCGAGGAGCAGAAGAGAGAAAATAGTAGGCTTAGGAGAAGGCTCAAAGGAAAATGTCAGTGATTTTAGAAGAATAGGAAAATATGAGAAAGACAAGAACCGCTCCTTAAGGGTGATGTTTATTGGCGTGAAAAACATGATGGAAGTGCTTAGAAATGCCAGGAAATTGCAGAGTGATGAGGTTGGCAAACTTTGGTCAATAAGACAAGACCTCTCAAAGGAAGACAGAGAAAAGCTGAAAATGAACCTAATTGAAGCAAAACGTCTAAATGGGGATAGAAAAGAAGACAGAAATTCTTTTTTTCTACAAAGTGTCAGGGACTGGAAAGCTTGTGAAATGGTACATGAAAACAAGGCAACAAAATCAGTAGTGGAAGGGGGAGTAAAGATCAAAGGGAAAGGGAACATGTTCCTGAAAATTGTATATACTGTACCAACATAGATGGAGTGAGGTCAAAAACTTTGGAGTTGCAAGATGTAATTCAGCTTAAGGTCCCAGATATTGTTGCATTATCAGAGACGAAACTTAAAGGAACTATATCAAGTGAAGTCGTATTCCCATGGGGCTATTCAGTTTGGAGACGTGACAGGAAAACTAGGAAGGGAGGAGGAGT